CCCCCGCCCCCCGGCGCTCCTGCTCCGCAATGTGCACCACAGCAAGTTCCTGACATCGGCCAACTTCACGGTGACCGGTCTCGAGGCCCAAGCAATCTCCCGAATCCTGGAGTCCTTCTCCGAGGCCTATTGCCAGCAAAACCCTGGGGTTTTCTTGCTCTCCGGTGCGCCAGTGCCACCCTCTCCCCTGCTGCCCTCCACACAGCGGCCCCTGGTCGCACCTTCAGCCCGCCACCCCCTCCCCTCCCTCATTTCCCGGCTGGCTGGCTGGCTGGCTGACCGTCTACCTGCTCCGCCTCCCCCTCCCTCCCCTCTCCCGCCTTCCCCCTGTCGTCGCTACGCCCCACAGACACGGCCTTCATCCTGGCCTTTGCCCTGCTGATGCTCAATACCGATGCCCACAGCCCCCAGCTGAAGGCATCTCGCAGTCGGCGCATGACCTGCTCGGAGTTCGTGGACAATTGCCGGAGGTCACTGCGGCCACAGCTCCAGCCCCTGGCGCGCCTGGCCCCCGAGGCGGCAGCCATCGCCACCGGTCGGTCGGCCGTGGCAGCCGCGGCAGCCGCCGACGCCGCCAACCCCGCCCCGGACATGGCCCCCTCCCAGGACCCGGAGATTACAGGGCCAGCGGCTGGCACTCCTGCCGATGCCCTGCAGCAGGAACAACACCATGGTGATGAGGATGCCGCTGCCCCTGACGTCGGGTTCCGGTCGATGTCCGGCTCGGACACGACGCCCGGCTCGGATTCCGACTCGGAGTACTCCTCATCAGACTCCTCGATTGATGGCCATTCTCCGGAGCACGATGGGTATCTGACTCGGACCACCGAGCGCACCCGGTCGACGAGTGCCCAGGACATTGACCATGTTTTGCGGCTGGCCGGGTCGACCTCCTCCTTTTCCCTGGGATCGATTGACTCCGTTGGCGGGTTCACCTCCACCGGGTCCGAGCTGCTGGCCTCCGATGGGGGGCACCTGAGCTGCTCGTCCTTCGGCGGCTCGCAAGCGTCGCTGGCCAGCGCACAGGACATCGATCGAGTCTTGAATCTGGTCTCGGTTGGCAATTCCATGGCCGCCGGTGCGGCCAATGCCCGCCTGTCCTCCTCCTCGGTGGCGGGCATTTCGGATGGTGAGCCGCTGTCGCCGGCGTCCTCCCTGCTTGGCCTGTCGGCCGGTGGCGGCGGCCGCGGCACCGGCGCATCGGCCGAGGGGGCTGCGGCGTCCGCCTCCTCGGCCGCCGAGCATGCGGCCCTGGCCGCGGCCAAGCAGCTGAGCCCGGCGCTGACGGCCACCGCGCTTGCCGGCGATCTGGCGGCCGATGCCTCTCCCCTAGGGGGGGACTCCTACCCGGGCAGCCCCCGGGCCCCTTCTCCCAGCCCGAGCTCCTCCTCCCAGCGAGACATCGATCATGTAATGGCTCTGGTGGCCTCGACCGACAGCCTGGCCGGGCAGGTGGGTGTCCCGGCTCTTGGGCAGCTATCTCCCCTGGAGACGGGCGATGACATGCCGTGTCGGCATCCGTCGAGCTTTGACATTGATGCGCTGCTGAGCATCGGGGCCTCCCTGACCGACTCGGCCCTCGTGCCATTGGATGGCACCATCGGCCAGGAGGAGCTCGATTCAAGCCCCACGGCAGCCCCCCCGCGGAAGACCATGGCCTCCATGTCCGGTGGAACCCCGGTCATGAGCTCCTGCGGTGGTGGTCGGCGGTTTTCCTCCCCGGTGGCCAGCTCCTCGCGCAAGAAGCAATCCAAAAAGAACTCCCTCGGTCAGCCGATCGCCGGCGAGCACCTGCACCAAACCCACTCAAAGTCCCTCTCCGGTCTGGACGCTCTCGGCAATGAGGAGGCCTCGCCTGGGCGGAAGTTTGTTCCCCCCCCGCAGCCGGTGACCACGGCCGCCCCGGTGGAGGTCACCGATTCGGCCCTGCGGAAGATGTACACCTCGATCGTCAGCAATGAGATCCGCCTGTCCGGGGGCAGTAGCTCCAGCTCGGCCATCAGCGCCCTGGCCACGGCCACTGGCATCCCTGTACGTTTGCCATGAAGCGGATGGGCGGTGAGTGGAGGGAAGAGGGGAGGGGGGGGGGCATCCAGGGAGCCACACCTTGCCATGGCGCTCACACTAACATCCTGCATTGCCCCTGTACACTGGCCTCTCGCGGTTCCAACCGGGTGGGCATTTCGCGCGCTGCCGCTGCCGCTCGCGCTGCCTCCCCGCCCCCCATACCGACGTGTGTCCCATAGTCCCTCAACACCCCCGAGCGCCGGCTCATCTATAGCTTCAGTAATGTGCTGCTGATGCTGGACACCGCTTCGCAGCAGCTTCCTTCTTCCTATTCGATTTACCTCTTCAATGACTCGATCCTCCTCCAGAAGCAGGGCAAGCATGGGGAGGCCGAAGTGGTCGACCCGTCGCCCGGGTCCGACACCGGCCCCGGTGCATCCCAGTCGAATGTGGCCCCGCCTTTCAAGCCGGCGGACATCCTGTACGGGCGCCGGGCAGCCAGCACCGGGCAGATTCACATCCCCCCCACACCGTCGGGTGGGTCCCTGGAGCCCGGGGAGGCCCCTGCGTCGCCCAGTGCGGCCCAGTCCTTCAGCTTCTCGTTCATTTGGATTTCCCTGAGCTGCCTGCGCGTTGGCAGCCTGGCCTCCACACAGCCGATTGTGGAGCTGGTGGTCCCTCCCCGTGGCGGTGGTACCGGAAGCGGATCGACCGCCGACACGGGAACCTCCTCCGCCCGGCGACTGGTCATCCTGTTTTCCTCGCCCACCGCCGACGGCCCGGCAGGGTCGGGTGCTTCATCGGCATCCGGGTCTGAGGGTGCCGGTTCGCGTGGGTTCTCCTCGGCCGGGGCTGGCGGGTCGCCCGGCTCGCCGACGCAGTCTGTCCCGGCGACTTCCTCCGGGTCGGCCGGTGGCGGTGGTGGCGGGCCGGCGTCATCATCGGGCTCGCCGGCCGGGGGGGCTTCCTCCGGGGGCTCATGCATCGGGGCCGATGCCATTCCCTCGGCCGCGGCCGAGGCCTTTGCCCTGCTTCTCAATGAGCAGGCCGCCATGTTGGCCTTCCTGCCGACTGGCGCCCAGTCGGGGCTCTGTGAGCGGATTTGCGGGCTTTCCACCCCGGATGCGCACTACACCGCCCCGGTGGGCAAGGGCTCGGCCAACCGCGTGAAGCCCTCGCACTTGCAGCACATCTCCTCGCGCGTGGGGAGTCTCCTGCACACAAGGTCCTTTTCCGCCACGCCCACGGTCTTTTCCTCCTCCTCCTCCTCCTCTTCCTCGTCGGCCTCGGCCGCGGCGCAGGCGGCGGACCATCGGGCGGCCGGCGGGGCGGCAGATCCCATGATCGACTAAATACATGTGTGTGTATGTTGTGGACACGTGAGGCTCGGGTGCTCCGTATCTGGACACCTTCCCCAGAATGCCACGGAATGGGCCGGCCTGGCGCGCGCGCGCGCGCGCGCACGGGGGCGGGTCCATCTGGGCCGGGCTATTTTGGAGAGTGGCGTGCGTCCGCGGATGTGCCCTCCTTGCATGAGCACTTGTGGCCCGGCCGCATGCGCGCCTCTGCCCATGGGAATGTTGTCCATGTCCTTGTGGATGAGAGTGGGTGCCTTTGGGTTTTTGCCCATCCCGGTGGTATGTCGGTTGTTTTGTTGTTATTTTAGACGACGTTGCTGCTGTTGGCCCCGCGCCAGGCGTCCCTGGGGCGCGCGCGGGGGGCTGAGCTCCCTCCCAGTCGGACAGGGGCGGCGCCGCACCAGGGGCGGGGATCCCGAGCCCGGGATTGCGGCAGGCCAGGTGGATCGCAACTTGCCACTCGCGGGCAAGCGGACAAAGTCGCACGAGTCGGGGAGGGAAGGCCGGGGGCGGGGCATCGCAAGGTTGCTCACCGCCTGCGCATAGACCGCCCGACGGCGGGGGGGGAGCAACGAAGTCGGGGGCGATACCCTGCAAATCCTCGGTCTCAGTCGAGGCTTCTCCTGGGCCTCATGGCATCGCTGCCATTGCTCGCGCCTCATACCGGGCCTCAGGCCCCGCCTTCCGGGGGGCGGGGGGGGGATCAGCCAGTGCAGGTGCCCTCTTGTAGTTCCCTCCCCAGGCCGGGGGCCGGGCCAAGTGCCCCACAAGGGAAGGTCCCGACCCTCAGGGAAGGGGGCTTGACACTGCTCTACCACTGCCCTTGTAGTAGGTAGGGACGCGACTTGGGGTGCGGGGGGGGGGGGGCGGGCTGCGCCCTCCAGACCAGCAACTCGTTCGGGCGCGTGTCTCGCCACTGTGTCCCGGCCCCTCGCCCTGCTGCAGGCCGCTGAGCCACGACCCAGGGCTCCGTTTCGCCCGGGACCCCCCTCTTTCCCTCTGGCTCGGGCCGGCCCTCCTCGCGCGACTTGCGCACGGGCGTATACGTGTGTGTTTATGAGGCAGGGGCGGGCCGGCCGGCCGGCGGGGGGGCTAGGGGCAACGGGCACACATGGGCCGCCTCCGGGCAGCTGTTGAAACACACTGACCCCCCTGGGCACACGGCATCGAGGCCGGGCTGGTCCTGGCGAACATCCCGACCCCGAGAGGCCGGCACCGGCGCCTCCCTGCCTCACGGACACGCGTGCACCCATGCCAGGCGCTCCAGGCACCACCGAAAGCCCCTTGGAAGAGGCAAATTAGAGCCGGAGAACAGACAGGACTGGCTTGTGATCGTGAGTTCGCCCTGTCCCCCCCCCGGTGCCTTGCGGCCACAGCGCACCAGGCGGCCGGGATACGGGGCTAGGGGGGGCGAGAGAAGGGCAGAGCCCCGCCACCATCAGGCGCGCTGGGAGCCAGGGGCGGGGCCGACCTGCCGGAGGCGGGGCCGACGCGCGGCGCGCCGGGGCCCCTACAGGAAGGGAAAAAAAAAAACGCCAGGGTAGAAGCCGCGCTCAGGGAGGCGAAGGCGGGGCGCCCGGGCAGCGGGACCGGGCAGCGGCACGGGGCCGGGGCAGGAGACAGGCGCTCATTTTGGTGCCGGCCTGCGCGACCGAGGCCGTTTGTTGGCCCTCGCCGCCCCCGGGGGACGACGCCGGTTGTCCACGCCCACCGAGCATCCAGCCTGCCAGACGTTGGGGCGCAATCGGCCAGTGCTCGTCCAGGCCGGTCCGCCCCGGGGCACCCTTGCAACGGCAGGACCTCGTCTCTCGTTACGTGTGTGTGTGTGTGTGTGTGTGTGGGCGTGTGGGCGTGGGCGTGTGTGGCCCCACCCGGTGCACCCTCACCCCCGCCCCTTCTCCCCCCCCCCCCGGTACTGGAGCTCAGTTGAAGGTATCCTCCGCGGCATGATGGCCAAACCTCGGGGAGATGACCAACTCGCCGGCCGGCCGGCCGACCGAACGACCGCGCAAACGGTCACAGCGGGGCCCGAAATACAGGGGGCAGCGGGGAGGCGCCTGGCGTGCGCGGGGCGGTCGGCCGGCAAAGGCCACATGCGAGGCGCTGCCAGTGCCCCGGCCTCAGTGCCGTGCCGTGCGCCCCTCAGGAGCGGCGTCAGAGAGATCGCCCACCGCCTGGGTGGTCCACGGCGAAAGGGGGGGGGGGGCGAGGTCGATTCCCAGAAGGCCGCCGGAAGGAAAGAAGGGCACAAGGAAAGGCCGAATCTGCCCACGGACCTTTTTTTTGGGGGGTTACGCTTGAGGGGCAAGGCGTGCGAGCAGGACCCGAGCGCGCATGGGCGCCCAGCGGTGCCCCCCCCCACCGGCCGCCAGTCAGAGAGGGGTCTGGCGGGTGCAGCGGGCACCGGCTAAATGACTCGCCCCTCGCGCCCGGGCCGAGGGCTGCCCGGGGCACTGAGCAGAGACGCGGCGCCGGCGCGGCAGGGGACGAGACAGAAGTGGCGACCCGCCGCGCACCAGTCCGGTCTCCGGGGTGCGAGAGCCTGCCTGCCGGCCGGCCCGCGCCGGTCCTAAATGTCGCCTCGATTTCACGCTGCCTCAGGGTGGGGCATATCGCGCAGGCGCCAAGGTCGCGCGGGATTGTGACGCTGAGGGAACACACTCGCGCGCGCGCGCGCGCACGCCAGAGTGCCTGGGAATCGCCAGCCAGGTCGGGAGTTTTGTCCAATCGGCTGGATGACCGCTCCTGGCCGATGGGTTTCACTCGCCCGGGGCCGAGGGCGAGGGTTCCCCGTCTGACCCCTCGCCCGCCCCACCCCTTCCCGGCCGGCCTGCTGCCCGCCCCCAGCCCCCCGGGGGGGGGACCCGGTGTGCGTGGGTGTCGCACACTGCGGCGCACACACTCTCAAGCATGCCGCGGCGCGGGCAGGAATGCCCGAACAATCCACAAGCCCCACCGGGGCGGCGGCCGACAATGCCGCAGGACCTCCACACCATAACCACACACACACACTGCCAGACCAGCCTCCGAAGCGCAGGGCCGAGCGAGGCAGAGGTAGAACGCGGCGAGGGAGAAGGGCAGGCAGCAGGCGAAAAGGGCCCGGGGTCGAGCCAGGGGCCGACCCCCTGTCTGCATGCTCGTGGACACGGCTCGCCCCATGGGTGCAGAGGCGCGCGAGAGAATGAGACGCCTGCCGAGGGAAGAAGCTCCCGGCGGCGGCGGCGGCGGCGGCGGCGGCGGCCGGGCCAGCTGCGGCAGAGCGTCTGCGGGGGTGGGCCGGGCGGGGGCACGCCTGCCTGCCTCCCAGGCAACCGCGACACACACATACACACATTGCCAGCCACGCCCGCCTCGACACAGGGCACAACGCGCACAATCCATGCACAATGCACACAGGCACGATCCACAGACAGGGTGTCACCTCGCGGGGCGGGGGGGGGGGGGGCGGGTGTCACCGATGCCGCGTTTGGACTCGGGAGCATCAGCCACTTCGGTGAGGGGCGGCTGGCTGGTGTGTCGGCCCAGCTGAAGGGCAGCGGCCTCGGGCCCGGGGGCTGATCGCCTCGGGATGCTGTCATGGGGAGCCCAGGACGGCGTGCCGGCGGCCAGCCGGCGGCAAACAGGTACCCCGGCCGGTGCGCGACGCTCGGGCAGGGCCAACACCACGACCCCACCCACCGGCCACACAGCCAAGGGTGCGGAAGGCCACCTGGCATAGCAGGAGGGGAGGCGGCGCGCCCTGGCCCCCCGCCCCAGTGCAGGAGCTGTCTGACGTCGCTGGCGAGGGTGTAGGGCTTGTCCCCTGAGGAGGCCCGGCCTCCCGGGGGGGAGGGAGAGGGGCACCGGGCCTCCAGGCGTGCGCTTGTACAGGCATCCATGCGTACGCACGCGCGTGAGCGCGCGCATGCCCTGGCGGCCGCCGTAACACGGCGGCGCCGGGGTGTCCGGCCCCTGGTTCCCAGCCACCGGCGCCGAGGAGTTGGAATGGGGCCACACGCGCGAGGGGTATTTCTTAATGCCCGCGGGACGAGACGAGAGAAGGCAACGCGTCGCTCTCGCGCGACAAGAACGGGAGTCAACGATTCACCCGGACACCGAGGGCGCTCAATTAATCTCGGGCCCAGGAAAGGCAAGGGCCCGGCCAGAGCGACCCTTGAGCCTGCCCGGGGCGGGGGGAGGACGGGGGACGGAAGGAGAGACGGGGGGGGGCGGGGGACGGCCGGCCGGCCGCATGTGTGGCCATAGACGCGGAGACCTCGGTACATCCCCGAGCAGGGAGACGCCGCTGCCGGGGCACTGCCACTTGACGGAGGCGCGAAGAGGGGGCAGACTAAAGACAGGAGCCGAGGACCCGCCGCGCAGGAGCAAAGGTCAGACGCGGGTGGGTCGTCCATCGGCCCCGCCGCCCTGGGCCAGGGCGGCCCGTGTGCTTATGGGGAAAAGGACGGCGGCAACATGTCCACCCTGCCCTCGCCCTGCCCCGGCTCCCCTGCACCCGCCCCCCCCCCCGGTGGCGTGGCCGAAAGACGTGGTGTGTCTCGGGCGCGCATATGTGTGTCTCCTCTCCTTGAAAGCCAAGGCCCATGGGCGTCGTGGGCCTCGGTGCAGCGCCCCCCGCCCCCCCCCCCCCCCCTGGCGCCACCAGCTGGTTCCCCGAAGGCGCCTCGGGAAATGCATGGCGGCGATTTTTTCCGCCAGCCCTCCGTCAGGGAGGGGGGGCGGGGAAAGAATCCCACACACACACGCACCCCGTGCCCCTCAAAATCAACGCCCTTTCCCCCCCGGGGGCGGGCACTTGGAGCACATGTGCCGTCCATGGGAGGGGGGAACCACGGCCTGATGGCGCACATTTATATGCTGGAGTTTTGTAGAATATTTGGGTATATTCATTTCCAGGCCATATTTGTGAATATGCCCCCGCCCCTCGTCACAAGGGGGCAAGTCTCGGCTGCACCCCTTGCCCGTGCGCTCGGAGATCATCACACGCGCTGACACCAGCAACAAGACCCGCCTCTCGGCGGGTGCAGGGTGTGCGGGGGGGGGGGGGGGGGGGGGGGGGGGGGGGGGCGGGGGGGGGGGGGGGAGGGGGAGGAACACTGTTTGGGGAGGCGGGAGGGACGGGGGGGAAGGGGGATGGGGGGGCGGGGGGGGGGGGGGGGGGGGGCGCGCATGCTGTAGACACGGAGGCAGGGTTGCACCTGGAGGCTGTCTCCGGCTCGTTCTTTCCCCCCCCGTCCTCGGGTTATGGTCGGCACCGACGTCTTTGCCCTTTTCTCGCCGGGCTGAGCCCCCCCGCCGCACCGCCCTAGGGTAGCCGGTGGTGGGAGAGTACAGCCCCGTGGCCAGCCTTGCTGCCTGTGTGTGTGTGTGTGTGTGTGTGGGTGGGTGGGTGGGTGCTTGCGCGTGTGCGTAGCTCTTTCCCATCTGCCCCGGCCCGTGGCCTGGCGGTGGGACCTCAGGCAAACAGCACCACTTGGGGAGGGCCAAGCCCACGAAGGCCCGGGTAATGGAGATGCCCACAGCTCGCCCCCCCCCCCCCCAGACTCGGCGCTGGGAAACGCCCACCCCCCCGCCCCCTGGCGGTGCTCGAGGGCATCCCGAGGGAGTGTCCGGCATAATGGCGGCCCGGGCGCCCCTCGCTCCGGCGCCCCCTGTTCTCGGGTCGCGCAGTCCCCCGAGTCGACCGGTCCTCTGCGGCGCTCCCCTCGGGCCCCGGGGCCCGCCTTGCCCCCTTCTCCGGGGAAAGAGCGAGGGGCAAGCGGGGGTGTCCCTTCCGCCGGGCCGGGCGCCGGGCCGGGGGCGGCCAGGGGATGCTACGATCGCGGTTGAGCGCCGGTCTGCCCCGGACCGACGTCCCATGCGTGTCCTGGCGGCCGGCTCCGGCGCTTCCGTGTCAAGACGCGGATCGCCCCCTGCCGGGGGTGCTCCGTCCCGCGCCGCCGTTGCCCCCACTACCGGGGCCGCCGTCCGGCCCATCCAACTTGGCCCCCCCCCCCCTCCCCGGCCTCGCCCCCGCCACGTCCCCCATAACCGGCGCGCAGATGCCACTCTTACGGCCCGCCTGTGACGGGGG